ATCATCATCATCATCGTCAGCATCATCATCATCATCATCATCATCATCATCATCCTCATCGTGATCATCGTCTTCGTCATTGTGATCATCATCGGAATCCTCGGCGTGTCGATCATCATCATTTTCTTTATCGTCTTCATCATTTCCATCTTCTTTACCATAGTAGCTCCGATCCAGCCCTGTGAATGCGCTCCATTGAAACTAGGAATGTGCCAAAAACCACGAGAAATACAGGTATTGTCCCAGAGTTTCAGATTCATTCATTGCTGCCGAAACTTGCACATACCACAAGGAAAATATCATCAACGAACGATGCGCGCTCAATTTCAGGCTTTGGGAGTAAAATTGAGTCCAAATTAACTACACCGCAGATACATCAAACGTCAAAAAAAACCCAAGGAGACTCTTGATCACGCAGCCCTAACGGATATCTGCACTTATGTACTAGAGGCGACAGCAACTTCACTGAGAGAGACAAATGGAAGGGCTTGATCATTGGACTGCATTATGTACTCAAATGAATAATTACGTTCACCCAACGAGCGTCGTGCGCCTCTTTCGTCAACTTTCCTCACCTCAAGCCGAAGAACCCAGATTACCTGGCGTTACTCTGAAGGATGAGAAAGATATGGAGAACGTTCTTATTTCTAGTTACTCTCTTGGCAAAGTTTCGAGTCTTATAAGATTACTTCCTGATCGACCGTGGACCGAATGTATTCGCCATCGCATGAACCCAGTATATGCGTGAGTCAGAGAATAAACGAGTAGTATTGATTCACGGAGTCCCGAGATTAAACGATCCATACGAACCTAAATGCCAACAAAACGATTGTAAAGAGTGGAGGTTTATTCAAGAGCTGAGTGGATGCCACAATTTTTTCACCAACTCAGTCAGCCGACTTCCGTGTTCAGTAAACTACCATTGAAACGGCCCGAAGATTATGAAAGTAACCCCTATGTTGTGTCCGGATCTCGTTTGATCACAATATACACACAACAAGATATCACACGATGACACACGAGGAACACACGTACCTCAACGGACACACTATTCGTCTAGCCTCACGAGTACGATCACAGCACAGATTGGACGCCACGAGCATTAGTAGCCTTCTCCCAGCTACGTAAGCAAGAACACAGTTAGTGCACAGCGAACGTGTATTCGACACACAGGAAATCAAGTCAATTTACAAGTTTTAATCTGATGCTTATATGGGTCTCGAAATAGCATCGATTAGTGCAATAAAAAGATTATGCCAATCAAGTACAGTTAGCAAAGTTCGATCGATCATAAGTCACGGAGTTAGCGAATTCCAATCGATCACGGATCGGACGGCGGAGTGAATGTCTCCGTATGACGCGATATGATTGATTATTCTCCGCGAGAGTGATATTGATTGGAGATGTTCCGAATTGCAGACACTCGAAAATAGTGAGTTTTAGGTAAAAATAGTCTTTTTACCTACACCCTAGTACCCCAGAAATGGTCATATCGGTCTTGCAGGCATGATGTCAAAACCGAAGAAGAGGAAGGCCAGAATTTAGCCTCAGGCCAATGGTGAATGGTGAGGTAAAACGATGTCCGTGGTTAGAAAATGGGTCTAACACGCTGCCTCTTCCCAGACGAACTCCGCTTCCCTCTACTTCGCGATCCCACGGCAGCATAACCGATTCCCCAAAAACCTACCGTTAGCTGACCACAGAGTGGTCGGCATAAATAACGATTCGAAAACCAGCGGATTCCTAATCAGACGCTCCCTAGCTTGTTTTTACACAAACGCACAAGGCTTCCCTAGCAAACCCCCTGAGGTTTAAATGCGCTGGCAGACCGGTCAGTGAGATCTTGTTGCCATTACCGAAACTCGGTTGACCGCCGATATTCTCGACTCTGAATTGCACCTACCCGGAATGTCGCTGCTGAGGCGTGATTGTTCTTCACGAGGTGGCGGTGCGCTGCTATAGTTCCGCAGCCACCTTTAATGTGAACCACTCGATCTCTTCGATCCAGCCCCCGATACACTTTGGTGCACAATGAGGCTTGTCTAAAGATAGCAAGTTGTGATCGGTGTAGTCTAC